CCCGGGAGGCGCGGCTGGCGCAGAGGGAACACCCGGAGAGCGGCGCTGGGGCGGGGGGCCTGCCTGCTGGCCGTTATAACCTTGCTTCCCAGCGCTGCAATTACAGCATTGTTCCGAAGTGGTCTCCCTGTTGCCAGTTGGCTTAGGGGAGCTCTCGTTTGCAGCCTGTGGGGAAATATCGTGCATTACATATAGGGAAGTCTAGTGCGTGTCCAGGGCACAACAAGGGCTCTAGCAGCCATGGGGGGACCTGRTGGGCACGTTTGTTTGTGTTTTGGAACAAGCCTTTGGCCCCTGTAGGTGACCTCTGGGTTGGCAGCGTGCAAAGCTGTTCATCAGACTCCGATTCTTCCGTCATCTGGACATCTGTATAGTTATCCTTTATGCGCCAGTTCACAACTGAATGTATGTGGAGTTTTGATGCATGAGAGCTTACATTTCCTGTATTCAGAGGGGGAAGTGGTATGGGAACGTATGGAAAGCATATGGAGTGCTTAGGCCTGACAAGCAAGCTCCCTGAAGGATCATAGTGCATGCCCTAATTCACTGCATTTCTCTGTGCTTTCGTTTAAAAGTGCTCTCGGACAGTTGTTACCTTAGTGGTAGCTGATACTTCCCATATCCCTCAAAATATTGTGCAAACATTTAAGAGAAGGGCCCCAACCAACAAGGCTTTGGAGGTCTGGGGTCAGGGCTGAGTGCGCCTACGTGTGCGTTATCTACCATACCAATCTGTCTTTGGAGGTTTATGTCATGAGAGATGCTATAATTCACATTATTGAAGAGCAGGGAACAAGATCAGTATTAGAGATATGGTATGGTAGGTCTGTCAGCAGCTGACCACTAAGATGAATTTAGAAGCACTGATACAGTTTGAGTAGGTCACCCTTCATGTTTGTTTTTTTTTTTTTTTTTTTTGAATGGAGCATTCAGTTTGAAGCTCTTCCTTTGACTTTAAGGAGTTGTTGTGTTTGTCCACAAAATGAGGAAGCAGCTGTGAGCACGGTAACTGACTTGAGAATGCAAGCAGAGAATTCAAGGCACCTGTACAAAGCTAATGCACTTCGCTTGCCTTGCTTTTTCTGATTTGCCCTAGATCCTAGTTACAGCATCACTGAATCTGGTTTTGTTTGTTATTTTCTGCAGAAGATGGGCAACTTTAATTGGGCTTATATTTCCAAAGCGTCACCTGTCTGTGCTGCCCTGGTTTAAGCACAGCCCAGCAAGGTTGTGTGCAGAGTGCTGGCCCCAAGAGCCCGCCTCTGGTAGTGCTTCACCCCAGACATGCCGTGGGAGCCAGTGCTTAGCAGCTCGAGCTGCAGCACTTGGCTCYTGGCGAGGCTGCCGCTGCCCGGGCTGCTACTCCCTTCCAGGGCCTTGCAGGGGCTTGTTTGCCCCCTTAAAACAAGGCTGTCAGGATTTGGGAAGCTCTGGGTTTCTGATTCCAAATGCTGTGAATGTTTCTGCCTCTCTCACATTCATGTTGGATGGGAAAGTCTAATAACACCATTTTCTTCTCCTCCTCTTGCTCTCTCTTGCACAATTAAATAATTTGGGTCATCCTGACGCTTCCAATGCAAAGCCGTGTTAGGGCACAGCTAGGTCTGCTGTGGGGCTTGGCTGGAAGATACATTGTGGGGTTACCTTGTGATTCTTCGTGGTACGTTCAGAGCAGCCCAGAGGAGCCCTGTTTTTAGCCGGTGGGCRTTCTGCCTTCTGTAGGGTGGCATTACACTTCACTTGCATGTGACGGTGCCTGCGGCTGTGCTGTGTCGGGGCGCTGTGGGCAGTGGAAGGCGAAGCCTGGTGCTGCACAGCCCACGCGCGGCGCCGCGCTGCGCACACCTGCCTCAGAGCAGGCAGCATCTAGGCCTTTCCCAAGGCAAGAAAAGCACCGGTCCTCCACCAGCCCCTGTGGTGGGTTCATCTCTTTCTCACTCTGTTGAAGATGCTGCAAAGGCAGCSGAGTTTGTGCCCAGGCATCAGGGACAGGAGGAGGGTTATGCTTAGTGATAGTCCACTCCTGTTTTATGTAAAGGAGTCACTTCATTTTCCCCTTTTATCTTTTTCATGTTATTATTTTTTTAATGGGGGTTTCAGTATATTTTTGCTGGCAAAGAATTAACATCTTGAAATTACCAGTAGATTCTTCTTTTACTGCTTATGACTAATTTCTGAAATATTAATGATTGTACTCAAGTATCCAAGTAGTTTCTTATCCGAAAATATTTAGTAAGGTTTAACAGATGTCAGCTGTGATACTGTAATCCATAACTTTGAAAGCAAATGATGAAAGCTTTGTACCGTTGCACTATACTTTATACTAATATTTTGATATTTGTTTTAGAGTCAACACAGAAATCTACCATAAAATCAGAATTTAAGCAATAATGGAGCTGGCTCATAGTTTGTTACTGAATGAGGAAGCTTTAGCTCAAATCACAGAAGCAAAGCGACCAGTCTTTATCTTTGAGTGGTTAAGATTTTTGGACAAAGTGCTTGTAGCAGCTAACAAGGTAATTTCTTTCTTTCTTTCTTTCTTTCTTTTTTTTTTTTTTTTTCCTAAAGCATCTCATGATAGATAATGAGTAATGTGCAAATGATAACGGTATGATTCCAGTCTCAGCCTGCAGAGCTACTGTATTTATTTGTAGCTTTTAGTGCCTAATTATAGGCACTCAGTATGACTCTCTTGTCATATTGAGTTTGGTCTCAATATGACACTTAGTTTGGTCTGAGTTTTTTGGTGTCATATGTCAATGTTTGGGAGGCAAAACCTCWTCCAGCACAGAGCTTCATAAAATGGTGAAGGGGATTAAAAGATACTTTTTAATAACAATTTTTAAAAAATCAAAAATACAGTAAAAGCTGATCCTGAGCATCTAGCATCTGTCTCCACTAATGTTGAGTGTATCTCAAATCTCAGAGGCAAGCAGTTTGCTCAATTACATATAGGTGGAGGGGGTGTCAGTTTTACCTCCATTATAGACATCTGCTGCTGGCTGTTTTTGGAGACAAGACGCAGGATTAGACAACCTCTCCTATTAATTTTTCTCCCTCTAACAGACAGATGTCAAGGAAAAACAAAAGAAACTTGTAGAGCAGCTCACGGGGCTCATCAGCAGTTCCCCTGGGCCGCCTACRCGGAACCTGCTCGCCAAGAACCTCGCCGCTCTCTACAGCATTGCAGACACCTTCACTGTTTTCCAGACACTCGACAAGTGCAATGACATCATCAAGAGCAAAGATGATACTGCTGCCTACCTGCCCACCAAGCTGTAAGCTTTATACTATTAAGAATGGTTTTTATTTTTTTTTGCAAAAAGTGCAAAGTGGTACTGCAGAGTACAAAAAAATCTTGTGTATGTCACATTATGTGGCTTATTTATAGTTGCATGCTTAGACTTCACATATGCTTAATGTAACGGAAATAAAAAGAACAGGATTGGGGCCAGACGGGGTCAGGATTCAAGGGCAATAGGTGACTATCTGAAGTTGAGACAGTTTCCTCAACACAAGTAGTCTTGTGGCTTTTTATGTGTTTGTAATATGGAGAAGATAATTGACAGTTGATGAGGTAATGCAGTGAAAAAATTCCTCTAGTTGTATTTTTACTAATGTGGTTTAAGTTTCCAACTTAMGACAAGATGGAATCTGCAGATTTTCAGAACTGGAACATTATCTATGCCAAGAGAGAGTTCTAAGTAAATGGTTCCCCCACTTATGTTCCTTTGCCGTGATGCACTGCAGAAGTCTCTTAAAAATAGTCTCTGTATTTGGATGTAGATGTATGTGATTCGGCTTGTCTTTAGGTATGGGAGCAGTTTAATTAGTAATTTAATGCCACAGAAAAGTCTGCTGAAACTTTATTCAGTGCTGTCTGTCACTTACTGCATCATGTATGCACAGTATGTAGTGAACCCTAACCTGAGTTTATTTTTAATCACTGTCATAGCAATAAGGGTTGACAGTAAAATCTGTCAGTAAAATCACCCTTTGGGCAGCAAGTGCCCAGATTTGAAGCTGTCCTGACCCTGTGAGAAACTTGTGTAAGCAAGAAGGGTTTCATGCTATAGCAATCTCAGAAATCAGTCACTCTGCTGACTTAAGTGGAAGTCCTGAAGTCTTTTGTGCTGACTTCAAATTGCAGTTGTGTGTGTTTTGTTGTTGCTTGCTTGCTTTTTTTTTTTTTGTCTTTTTTTGGGGAATAGGGAAGGTGTTCTTTTTAATTCCAGAATTATGTAGGAGAAATATCAGCTAAGCAGTAGGTTTTGAGTTTATAACAAATAGCTTTTTAACTGATAGTGCTGTCAGTTGCCAATGCCAAATAATGATTCAGCTAGGATAAAATTAAATAATCATTTAAGTAGGATAATTATATCTGTAATTATTTCTCATCATATATAGAAAATGAGTACACTGATGAGTAT